AGGGAACCCCATTTAAATGATCACAGAAACAATGTGGGTACTTAGTCCAGTGCTTGCATGAATCACTCCAGGCTGGAGGGTGCAGTGTACCCAGCCAGCCACGGCCATGCTCCCCACTCCCCCTCGTGCCAGTGGCTGCCTTGGCACCAGGCCATTTGAAACATTACCCTAAATAACTGGGATGTCAGAAAAATTGTGAAGCTATACTCAGCCTGGGGGTCCTCACTGCTTGGCTGAGCACTGGCTGTGTGTTCAGGGCTTTTGGTGGCACAGCAGCAGGGCAGAGTGGGCAGAGGCTCTAGCCAGCAGCAAGGGAGCCGAGGTGAGGAGTGCCCTGGCACAGCCTCCTTCCCTGGTGCTTTGCACATTGTCACTAGAGCTGCCTCCGAACATGTCCATCAAGCTGCAGGGGTGACTACTGCAACTGGCACTTGTACAATTACCCTGCTTCATGATCTAAAAATATGGTTAAAATATTGCTCTTGAGATATATTGTAAAAATGTCACTTTTAAGGGCTTTCTCACAATAGGGATACAGTTCCTGGTGAGCTGTAACTCAGCTCCTGCTCCAGGGGGGACAGGAGTGGCACCATCTGCCTGAGGCACTCACAGGTGAGCTGGAAGGGGAAGCAGGTGCTCAGCTGTGCCAACAGCAGAGGCTTTGGCAGCAGCATGGATGGAAACCAACCACAGAGATTTATAAATCACTGCTCTTTACACGCAAATTACTTCTTAGATTAGCAGAAACAAAGTATCTGGGGGGAGGAAGAAAATCTAACTTTTGGGAGGTTACCATGGGTTTATCCCAGAACATCTGCCAACCCTGGTGTCAGCACGGGGTAACAAACACATGGCACGAATCTGGGAGTACAAAAGATGTGTCATTACAAGAAGGAGTAGGAGGAAAATAAAGCAACTTGACAGCTCACATCCTGTGCCATAATCCTAGAAATTGTTAATATTTACAAAATTAACAACTAATATAACCGATGACAATCTCACTCCTCCCGGTTGTCATGAGGATATTAACAGTTACCACCCGCTCCAAACTGGAAATATTACCCGTCTCCGGAGCTCCTGCTGCTCAGCTCGCGGGGGAAGGCACAGACTCACCCTCCCAGCTTTTATACCAGCACCAAGCCGTGAGCCAGTGTGGAACACCCAAGTACTGCCAGGGCTGGAAATGCCTCCTGACCTTATTATGCTCCCTGGGAGCAGAGGGTCTGACAGAATAGGAATAGGAGGAAGGTTTCTCTCTTTTCCCAGCTTCTCCAGGAGCCCTGCATCTGGCTCCATGCACTGCAGTGTGATGGGGAGAGCCCAGAGGAGGAGAATGGGCAGTACAGGCAGTGCTGGAGGCAGGAGAGGCAAGGGCCATGCTGGCTCAGATCGTACCTCTGAACAAGCTGCCATTTCAGGAGAAATGCCCATGCTGCTGGTGTAATTTGCCAGCTGTAAGGCTGGATGCTAATTGATGAACAGATGCTACAGTGTCATTTCTTTAACAGGAAAGACCTGACTAAAACCAAAATAAAGATGCTTGGATACCAGGGACTCCATGGGAAACATATTCCCAGACTAACCATCAGAAACTTTAGAATCACAGTGCTGTTCCCCACATCTTTTTTTAAATAAGAAGGTAACAGCAGCCCAAGTTCTTAGAGCTGAGATTTTTTGGTGTATTTTGTTTTTCACTGTTAGCTATCCATCAGGAGAACTGCAGAAGGCAATACAGGGTTAACAGACACTGTAAACACAAGAAACACATGCAGATTTTCTGGCTTCATTTTGCCCTATCCTTAGCAAGGAACATTAATTCCCCAGGCCCCTCTTTGCACAGGCACAGTGTACCAGGCTTACAGTAATTTAAAATAATTTCCTTTGTCAGGGTGCACTGTATGCAAAAACACCACCATACTCTTTCCAGTTCACCATATGGAAAATCAAAACAGAATTACCTGCATAATTGTTTTCAAAGAGCTCCCATGTACTGGAAAGCTGTAAAAAGCAAATTTCCTCTTCACAGGAATAATTTTCTTCCCTTGAAGTGTCATGCTGCTCGCTGTACAAGAGGGTGGCCCAAAGAGGCAGCCTGAATGAGTGAGCATGACTGAATGGATGGCCAAAACATCCCTTTAAAGGCACCCCAAGATCAGGGATCTCATTGCTCCAATGGTCAGGATTGCTCCACTGGCCTGGTTGACAAAGAGCTGCCTTTCCAGAGCTTGGTGCTCCAGCTGGCACAGCACAAGTGCTCATTCAGGGCAGTACCCAAAGACTCACTGGAGAGGGCCTCAGTTAGATGGATCCTCTGGACCATAACAGGGACCATCGCGAGCTGCAATCCTCATTAACTGGCTCACCACACTAGGACACAGCAGATACTTTTCTTGAAGTACAGTGGGGAAATAAATGTGACCCAGTAAAATAAAATGTCGTTTTTAAATATTAAAAAACCAATGACTTTAGAGAACAGACACACAAAATCACCACACACACTAAGACTATTGTGCAGTTTGCTCTAAGAAGCTGGCATCTTTTTGAAAACACAAAAACCTTAGCAAGTGTCGTGGTTTATATCCCAGACAGTTTGCTTTTCTCCCCCTTGGCTTTTATTCTGCCCTGAGCCTCTGAAGAACACTCCTTTACCTCCCATTTTGTTTTCTGTTTGTAAAGCTTTATGCATTTCAGTTTTTCACCGTCTTCTCAGATCATTATCTTACTTTTTTCATCTTTCTTTTCAAGAAACTTCTTTTTTCCCCATATGCCGTCATCTCCAGTATAATACTTCTCCCTTTAGGATTTCTTTTATCCTTCTCATCTTTATGCCTTTCACTTACTCTTCCCCAGACCCTTAATTTCTGCTTTTGCTTGTCAAAACTGTGTTTCTTCCTCCTTCATGAGGGAAGAAGTGGGAAGGTTGGGTGGATTTTTTTGCTATGAACAACCAGGAATGCTCCAATCAATACTTTGAAACCCTGCAGAGGAGAGCTTGCATGAGTCTTTTCAACACTTTGAAAATCTGCAACTGCAGTTAATGGAAATCTGACTAATGCCTGAAAATCAGCACCTTATTTTAAAACAGTGCGGTAGCTTCCCACCAATAACATCATCAGGCCTTCCCCAACAAGCTTTTAATTTTACATTAGAGACTCTACTCCATGCTTTGAAACCCTTGTAGCCCTGTAGCAATGTCTTTTTGTCTAAACCTCACGACACAGAGCAGGTGATGGACGCAGTCTCAGACACCACCTGAGCCTTTAGCTCTGTCTGGATTTCCATCAACCCAAAGGAAAGGCACATTGCCATCCTGCTCACAGAAAATCATGTTCAGGCATACCCAGGGGGATTTCAGAAGAGCGACGAATCCAGTTCAGCTGGAAGTGAGTGCATGTAAAATGTCTTCAAGCCTGAAATGTGTGTCCAGCCATGGCTGCAGGAGAGCAGTGGCTCTGCCCTGAGGACAGTCCCACCCCCAAGGGCTGGGGCAGCATTCAGTGCCAGGAAAGGATCTGGAGCCTCTTCACCCCTTCCCGATAGATGTGCCCTTGCTATTTATTTTGTTCCAAAAAGAATTTGCAAAAGTAATTTGGGGATCTTCTGACATTTTGCTGACATTTCTTCAGGACTTTTTGTTGCACAATTATTATTGTCATTAGGTACCTTCACATGTTAATGCCTACACCACATTTAATTGTGTGCATTCCAGATGGGGGCCAGTTTTTGCTCTGAATTCTTAACATGCAACCAACCTAGCACCTTCATGGGCCTGTTTCAGTTGGACCTGTTCCCTAGACAGATCACTTAAGAGGTCTGGAAAATCTGCAGAGCTTGCAACAGATAGAAATGACTGTTCCTGACAAGTCTACCATTTTTACTGCTCTCCATCTGCCTACCAAGACTGCCTCCTTCTTCTGAAGTGCTGAAGACCACTTAAAATGTGTCTAAAGCTTGATGCCAGCTTCCTAGCCCTGCTTGCCAATTCAAAAAATCTGTTGCAAAATATATGTCAATACATTTATTCCCAGGCTAAGGCAACCATGTTACTTAAAACGCTGAGGTAATCCTAAATGCACTCCAGAGGCTGGAGCTGATAACAGAATCTTCAGATACAAAAACAGCTTTTGCAGAAGGTATCGCTTCTAGCATGAGATATTTAAAACCTTTTCTTCTCTCACTGAGGCCTGCTTTGGCAGGCTGGGCATGCTTCCTGGCTTGCTGTCCGGATGGCAGTCGACACTCGGCAACGCCTTGTTTGGGTATGAAATTCATTACATTGGAAATCAAGGGCAGGAAGGTCCTGACACAAGTGACCTAGGTATGAATACCTGCTCTGGCTCTTTGAGTTCCCTTGTTAGCTTTTGCTCTCCTTAAGACTAAAATTGTTTGGAAATCACTGCCTGTGGATTTTAGGTTTTCCTTCCCCACTGGTAAGACCTGAAGCTATTTGAGCTGTTAAACAATTTGTGGCTTCTGAGCTTGGTTGTGGTGCCAGCTTTGTAGAGATAAATATAGAATCTGTGGCATTTTCAAAAGCCATTTGGAATAGCTCTTCAATACAAGCACTCTCAGCAGAGATTAAACACATTATTTGGGTCTTCTGCCTAAAGAAAAAAAAGATCACTTAAAAAATTGGCAGAAATACCAGTTTCTTCAGATGACAAAGTTCTCTTCCCCAAACCAAGGCTGAAAATTGGCAGCTCTTTACAAAGACAATTTTTTTTTCTTTCCTCTCTCCCTCTCCCTACTCCTTCATTTCAAAATAACTTTCAAGGCAAAAAGAGCAGGACATAGCAACATAAAAAAAAAAGAAAAAGAAATAGATTAAAATTTTTCACTCCTTGAACAGAATGCTTTGTATTTTAACTAACTTGTATCAGATAAAATGCTACCACATTCCTACACAAGAAAATAACACATTATAGGAAACTGGACAGATACGTTTCTCAAGGAATTTGCTATTCAGAAGTTCTACTGAAGAAACTAAACCACAATACAAATGAAGAACTTTATTAAAATCCCTTGGAATATCATATGAAATTTAATATTGTATAATATAGGTGCAAACACCTGATATTAACAGGATGTGACACGTGTGAAGAGAGGACATTAATATACATATAAATAGAAAAGCTAAAATATGTTCCACAGTGATGTATTAAGTGGCTACATAAATGTGACCATAATTAGAAGAATATGTAATTTTGTATCCCTTTAGCAGTACCTTCTAAAGCAGTATACATAGTAAATTGCATTATTTCTAGTCCCTGCTTTCTTATAAGTAACAGGAGATGCATAGGAATATTATAGGCACATGGAAAAGCAATGTAAAAGATATAAAATGAGAGGCAGAAGCCAGGCACTTATTTGTTCTTGGCTGCCAGAGGTTTACGGCTGATCTTCTTTGACTTGTCATTGTTCTTCTTTGGAGGTTCAGGATTCGCCTGCATGTGTCTGCCATAAAGACTGTAAGGAAATGAGACCAAAAAAAATGTGATACAAGCATTAAACACAGGCTTTTACTCTGCAGCATGTTAAACAATGCATCTAGTTACTAGAAATAAAAAGGAAGGTCTTTATTTTGTCTTAGCTCGCGGAATTTTCTATTAGATCTGATGCTGAAGTCATTAACATTTGGGGGTTTGTGACTTTTCAGGGGAGTAACATGGGGAAGAGCAGGCCTTTGGAACAGAGAAGGAGCAATCAGTTTTGCCTTCAGAAACTAGCAACCTTTATTCTGCAGTTATGGGATTAAGGCTCGGAAGGCTGCAAGGATGTGTATTCAAGTAGACAATGACAAAAATTGGGTTGAACTGGAGAGATAGAGTGCCTGCTTAGAGCAAAGTGAGCATCATCCCTAACCAGAAAACCCAAGGGCTTGATAATGTGACAGAGAGCAATGGTGTCACAGCTGCCTTTGCTGCTCACACATGATTGATAGCACTGGGACAGCTACCAACGCATCAATGCCACATTAGTAAGTACCACTGATTAAATGTTGACAAAGTATCCTACAATTAAGATGGCTAGCATTCACTGGGAAGCTAAATAGACTACATGGATGAGAGGATCTTGCTAAATATCACACAGTAATTAATAGATAATTTATGTGTAATCCCAATTAAACTAAATTAAAAACCTACCCAAAATAAACACAGCTGAAACTTAACTTCCCTTATTGACATAAAGTGCTTTTTGAAGACGTACTTTGCAGGTTTAGGCTGGGATAATTTTCTTCATGTAGCTGGCATGGGGCTGTGGTTTGGATTTGCACTGAAAACAGTATTGATAATATAGGGATGCTTTAGTTTTTGCTGAGCAGCACTTGCACAGAGCCAAGGCCATTTCTGCTCCTCACCTCACCCCACACCACCAGTGAATGAGCTGGGGGTACACAAGTTGTTGGGAGGGGACATAGCAGGGACAGCTGACCCCAACTGACCCAGGAGATATCCCAGACCATATGGCATCATGCTCAGCATACAAAGAAAGGGGAAGAAAGAATGGAGGGGGCATGTTCAGAGTGATGGTGTTTGTCTTCCCAAGTCACTGTTACATGTGATCTTGGAGGTCTTTTCCAGCTTTAATGATTCTATTCTATTCTTTACTATTCTAATTCTATGTCAGGAGGTTAAATGTTCCCACCTGCTCCGAGCTTTATTTTGCTGTATCTGGAAGATACTCAGCCCTGGGGTTCCTGGACTGCAGAATAGGATTAGAACTTCTTATAAGGTGGGGTGGAGAGGCAGTGCTCACTTTCACCTCCTCAGTGGCTACATCATGCTGCTGCAGGCTGTTGTCAAGGTGTGCTGTACCCACAACAGCCTTGCTCGAGGAAAATACAACTGTAAACTACGACATTACTTCACCTTCCTGAAATTTTATGTGTCATCACCTGCTGCCAACAAAGGATCAGATGCCATTTCCTGATGAATGCAGAACCCTGACCCTCTGTCATAACTGCATGTTTTGTATTAGCTACAATACATGCATTTTTCTTTTATTTCATAAGAGATACAGCCCCAACAGCACAAGGCTGTATTTTATCCAAGTACACAGTATGCATACTAATCAAATATCCATCCTAAATAACTGACCTGATTTGGAAGGCATGAAGTGAGTTGAAGGAGGGAGAATATGGAAAGAGATGGTTCAGTATTAGGAAATCCTATCACTGTCGAAGAGCACAGAAGTGACATGCAAGGAGGTTGTCCCATGAGAAACTGATCCAGGGTAGAAAAAGTCAGGGAACAAGCAGCATCATGCTCTCAACGATATGCAGCACAGCATTTGAACCACAGTCAGCAATAACTTGTAACTTTGAGAAGTTAGCAACAGAGAAGTATGTATGCTCAAATCTGTGAACACCAATAGTTAATTAAATACTAAATTAACACTCAAGCTGGATTTTGGCACTTTTTCACAGAATAAGGAAGTCCCCATTTGGGACTTTAAGCACTGAATTAACAGGCAATCCACTGATCTACTGTTATCTGAGCACAAAAAACCTTCATGGATGGGAACATTAAGTCCCCTGTCACTGTCCTGTCTTCCACATCCTCTGCTGCCCCACAGCTCCTTTGCCCTGTTAGTGCCAAACCAGAGAGAACTAAAACAGCTTTAGTGGTTCTCAGGTGTTACATACCCTCTTTTTGCTCAGGTTTGCTTAGGCTCCCCATTTTTTGCTTTGGAAACTTCATGTAAGTTTCCCTCTCAGGTAACCCTTTTGGCATTCCTTCTGCCTCTCATTTCCTCCTTTCTCAGTGTAAATAATCAAGTTTGTGGACTGGCAGAGCTCAGATTAGTGAACTTTTCCCGAAGCAAAATGGTGTGGTGGGAATTCTACTGACTAGACAGATGCTTTCAAAGTGCAGAAACTGAATATTGACAATTTTGAATGAACTTCAGAGTTCTGGTAAACTCTACTTGGGCAATGCCTTTTGACTGCAAAATGAGGTCCAGCAGCCACTGCATCTGTTAAACAATAAAAATCCTAATTTACTTGTAAGTATTTTTGGTATTTCTTTGATATTTTCTCCTTGTGATATTCAGTGCTATTGGTGCTCCAGCAATTCCCTCTGCCCCATGCAAATACTACATTAGTAGTAGTATTTGAGTTGAAGACATCTACAGCACTTTTACGTTCTTTCTACTTATTCTCATGTCCAACCACTTCTATCTGCATGTGCACCCAAGTTTCATCCAGGAAAATAATTACTGGGTTTGAAAGAAGCAAATCAAGTATGTCTGCTTAGGTTTCCCTGGCAAAATGTCAAGGAAGTTTCAGCATGCATTGCTATCTCAAGTGAATACTAGTGCTTGCTTTACAATCTATCACAGGAGTCTGCTACGCAAAGAGCAAGGATCAGCCGTATTTAGATTATTCAAGCCTTCACAGACAGGGTCTCTCTCTTATGTTTGCATACATCAAACACGAGGAGACATATGGTGTCACAACAACATTTAAATACAATAATGACTGTGATAATGCCTCTGGGACAGAATTTGCCTTCTGTTACACCAGGGAAAAGAGAATTCAAAATTTTCAATGAACTTCTGGTACAACAACAGACAGCGTTTTTACAACTCCCAAGGGGAAAAAACCCCACAGAAGAAAAAAGCGAAAGAAAAAAAATTAATGAAGCTTATCTGCACAGAGATGCAACTATCTGAATTCCACAAGAATCTATAACCCTTTGGTTGTAATAGATGTGAAGTTTGCACATACAAGTCTTTCATGATTTCAGTACCTGCTGGAAAGATACAGCCACAGAAATAGCCATAGTTAAGCCGTACAAACTGTGTACATGCTCTTGCTCTGCATCACTGCAAAGCCAAACGTGTTAGGCAGAGACACTTGCACATCATCCTCGGCAGCGGAGGTCAGCTTAAGACATGCACACAGACAGTTATGCTGTTCAGCTGACAGATATTAATGTGCTAGGAGATGGCACCTTGACATAGCTGTTTGCATGACTAGACCCTTAGCCAAGGCAGATTATCTCCATGAACAGACAAAGGAATATTGAGACAGATTGTGGCTACAGTTTCAAGGCAGATTTGTGAGCTAAGTGCTGATAACACATTCATGGCAGCACCTTCCCAGCTGATATTTTGAAACGTCACCTCTTCACGTGGCTGGTATAGCTCTGAGCAGGACACACTGCTCACAAGCCAAAACCTCCACTGAAGAATAAAATCCAGAATGCAAATAAATATTAGAGATGCTTGCAGTTTGCAGCAACTGTCAGAAGCTAGTTATAACCACAGCCCACACACTGCAGTACCTTTGTAGACTTAGCAGCTACAGTATCACATACAGCCTCCTCATTATGTTGAAGCAAAAGGGGAGATTACACACAAGACTGAAAGTGCACAAGGAAGGACCTCCAATAGAGACTTCCAGTTGCTTTCCTTCCCTGTATGTATTTTTCAAAGCGAATACCTCTCATGAACATAAATGTTTCTTTGTATGCAAACATAAACGTAAACAAAATCTCCCTGCATTCTCCTCCTGCCCCACTGGAAGTAACAAATAAGAGCATTATGGCTGCTGCAGCAGCAAACCTAACAATATCAAGTGAGAAAGATGCTCATTAAACTTCATCATTCTGTCTACTTTAATGATGTTTTTACTTAATAAAAATTCCCTAAGTAGTTGCAAGGATATTAGGCAAGGTCTTCGGTTATGTATCAGGGGGTCTAAGCTGTCACTAGCAAGCATGCAGTTCAGGAGGGGCATTCCCAAGAGG